GTTGTGTGCCACTGTACCTGGTTTATGCAGTGCTGGGGATCAAACCCAGGGCTTTGTGCATGCTTGGAGAGCACTCTTTCTGACTAGCTGTGTCTCCAGTACCCATCAGTCTTTTTTTTTGTATTTATTATTGTTTTGGCGGGGGGGTTCATACATGTGTGAGTACCTACAGAGGCCACATGAGGGTGTCAGATCCCCTGGAGCTGGAGTTATTGGTGGCTGTGAGCTGCCTGACATGGGTGCTAGGACTTGAACTTGAGTTCTTTGAAGAGCAGCAAGTGTATTACCGCTGAAGCATCTCTCCAGCACCTCTCCGGTCCGTAAGTCTCAGCTCCAGTTGTCCATCTCATAAACTCACTTTAAGTGAGTTCACTTGGGATGAACCCCAGCACAGGCCAGGCAAACACTTAACCATTGTGCTACATTCTGAGCCCCTCAGTTCACTTATTTGAGAAGCTTTTCTTTGGGATTTGAAAAGAAATGAGCTTGGCATTGTGGTGCATACCTTTGATCCCAGCATTCAGGAAGGAAGCTTGTGCTCGTCTCATTCCTGGGCCTTCGTATTCTGGAAGTGCCTTGTAGGCCGAGTCCCACTCATCTTCAGAAAGATCTGCTCCTTACCTGTTGTGGTGTATGTGATGGACACGTGAACGTACTCTCCTGTATGGTAAATGTCTGAGTGGTGAGGCACCATGGTGCCCTGTCTCATTGATGAGGATTGAGCAACATGCTTTCCTTGAAGTGTTTTTAGTCAGTGCCTGTCACTCTGTCACTGTCGTAGGACCCTGCAGGCCTGCCAGTTAGATTGTTGATTCTCCTCTGTCTATAGTGGGTGAAAGGGCCCTTTTACTCCTGTCACAGGCTAGTCTCTAGAGTATATTTTACTTTGAATAATGTTATGTGAAGGCAAGAATATTCAGCTTGTGTAACTTAAATCCCCAAATTAGCATCATTTGAGAATTGATCAGTCAGGTTGGGCATGGCTGTACTTGCCTGTAATTCCAGTACTTGGAAGGTCAAGGCAAAGGGTTTGCGGTTTGGGGCTAGCCTTGGCTATACAACAAGATGCTGTTTCAAAGACCAAACCAAAAGGTCCCTTCTAAAAATGATACCCCCAAGCTGGGCGTGGTGGTGCATGCCTTTAATTCCAGAACTCTGGAGCAGAGGCAGGTGGATCTCTGTGAGTTCAAGTTCAGCCTGGTCTACATAGCAAGTTCCAGGCCAGCTGGGGCCACAGGGAGACCCTGTCTCAAAAAGACCAAAAATAAAACCAAAAAACCCTCTGGGGCAACGCCGACAACCCCCAGTGTGCGGGTCAGAGCACCGCCCCTTTCCAGTCTTCATCAGGTGAAGACTTAGGAAATGGAAGCTGAGGGGGACAGACCACTGACTCCTGGAGCCTAAGGGGCAAGTGAGCGTCACACTGTGTCATGGCCCTACTGGTAACAGGGCAGAAGCAGCTCATGGCCAGGACAGCACTGGAGCCGAAGGGTCCTGGTCGGGAGCCCTCCTGTATGGAAGACCACAGATCCACCTGTAAAACCACAATTCCTCACTGAATACGGGAGATTTGGGGGTCTCTAACCAGGTCTTCTATCTGACTCAAGAAGGGAAGGCTGGCGGGTTGGACTTTGAGTTGCAGCTTCTGCTCTGTGGCGGTTGGGAAGTGAAAAGATGAGCAAAGATGAGGAGATGTTGCCAAAATGCTCTAACCTGGGAGGTGAACCATCATGTTACTGTGAGACCCTTGTGTTTGGCTGGACACCCGCAGGTCCTCAGCCCCAGCAGCCATCAGAACATACCAGTCAGAGCCATAGTGGGACTCTGGCCACTCCTGTCAGATGGCTGAGGTGAGAGAGACAGCGACGGCCCCAAATGCTGGCAGGACCCTGAAGAGGTGGGAGTGCTCATCCCCAGCTGGTGTTGTGGGGAACAGAGTTCTGGGAGCTCAGTGCACACCCCCCCCAGTGGCTTAGCAGTTGCTCTCAGGGGCATTTGTCTGGAGGCATGGGAGCTTATGGTCACATAGAAAGCCAGGAATACCCAGTTACCCTTTAGTGGGCGAGAGTGACTGGCACCTCATGCCATGGAGCAGTCCTCAGCCTCAGAGCCAGCTGTGAGCTGTGTGCCTGCTCCCACAGATAGTCTACAAGTCCATTACCTACCATTCTTGAAGGTCAAAGATAGTCCTTTAGAGAGATGCCAGGAGGTGATGGAGCTGTTTCTTAGAAAGGGGCGGCTACTTGGACCTTTGGCAGGGACCACACTGCCCAGAGTCACATGTGTACACATGTGGGAAGTGGTGGCCTCTGAGTCTTCAGTCTTCCTCATGTCTCAGGGCTGTTTTCTGCTGTGGTTCTGGGGTGTAGGCTACACAGGGTGTCACAAATTGGGGCAGCGTTCACAAACATCTGTCCTCCCTGTCAAAGTAAAATTACTTCACAGTGCAAGCCAGTTGGTGGGATGGTGCTCTGTGTGCACACGGGTGTATGTGTAAGTTTGTGTGCATGTCAGATTCTGCATAGGATTTTGTTTTAGGGGGCTGGTTCACACAGTTGTGGAGCTGCTAAGCAAATGAGAAGTTTGGGGATGGGGTACAGAGGCACAGCAGGAAGGGGTTGTTGGGGGTCTCAAGCCAGAGAGCCCAGGCCTCCCTCTGAAGGGTTCCCTGTAGAAGTCAGTCCCCTAGAATTACTTCTCCCTGAGAGACTAAGATGAGCTAATGAGGACTTTTGATCCCACTTGGAAAAACCTCCTCTAGCAGCTCCCAGTTTTGTGTTTGAGACTCTAGGGTAGTGGCTGAGCCTGTGTGTCCTGGGAAGCCCCATGGGAGAGTGAGGAATTGTGGTCTTATTTTCCACTTGTGTCATGATGGATCATTGTGTTCATAAAATCCAAATCCTACAATTCCCTCCCTAGTTTGGTGACAGTGCTTAAAGAAACATTGTATGAGCACACACCACTCAGCACATTTGTGCATTTATGCTACGCATTATTGTGGCATTTTCTATATCAACCCTTAGGTAACTGGCTGCTGTTTTCCAGTCCAGGCTTGAACACGCGTGGCAGGTGCTCTCCTCCTGAGCCACTTCACCAGCCCAAGTAGATCATAATGTGATACGGAAGTTCTGTAATTGTTTGTTTTTGAGACAGGGTCTCCCCGTAGCCCCAGCTGGCCTGGAACTCCAGTAGATCAGGCTGGCCTGGATCTCACAGAGGTCCACCTGCCTCTGCCTCCCGAGTGCTGAGATTAAAAGCATGCACCACCACGCCCGGCTGTGTTCTATAATTTTTTAAAAACTACCTTATTTTTTATTTTTATGGTATGAGTGTTTTACTTGCATGTATGTAAGTTCACTAAGTACATGCAGTGCCTACAAAGGCCAGAAGAGATTGTCGGATCCCCTGAAAATGGAGTTATGGACAGTTGTTAGCTGTCTTGTGGGTGCTGGGATTCGAACCCTGGTCCTCCTGAAGAACAGCAATTATTCTTAACCACTGAGCCCCAAGTTCTGTAGTTTTGAAAAACTCATTGTTCATTGGTATAATTCAAGGCCGATAGGATTGCATAAGTACCAAGCTGCATAGGCCATTTCAGCCTTCTGTTTTACATATAGGAAGCAGGAGTGCTGGAGGCCGTACAGAGCCCCTGAAGGAGTCAGAGGTCTCCTGGGTTACCTTGGATCCTCAGGGATACTTCATGGTTTGGGGGGTGACTTTAGGTGTCATCAGAACTAGTAGCATGATTGAGAAGCACAGCCGAGGGCCCTGCGGTGCTGAGGGACCTGCAGGCACTTGCACCTTCATTTGGGAAAATCAGATGTGGGCCTGGGCAGGATTTGGGTTACATATGCTGCTGTTACACCTGATGGGGCAGCATAGTCATGTGACCCTGATGGAGGCTGCTTTCTGCACATGGGAATTCTGAGGTGGCAGGACTTGGTCTGCAGGTGCCTGTTCTTTTCATTCCCCAGCTTCTTAGAGCCAAGCAGACTTGAGTTTCTAAATGGTAAACACTTGGCAGGGTGAAGGGGCCCATCAAGTCCCTGCTAGCCCTGTCTGTTTGCACCCAGTGCTGCCCTCGGGGGTGTTGCTGGGCCTGGTGGTTCCTGCGCCTTGACCCGTTCTTTCCTAGAACCCTTCTCATCAAAGCCAAGCCCCAAGACTTCTTGGTTTGGGTCCTGCACTTTCCAGGAGAACAGTACGTGGTGCGCATACTTTGCTGTCTCTGGGATGGCTGCCTCACTCTATAGAGTGTAGCTGTGAGTGACATCCAGGAGGGCAGCTGTGAGCCTCTCATCCTTGACATCACTGGGAGGGATGGGATCAAAACGGAAGCTGGAAAGATGGCTCAGTGGCTGAGAGTGTTTGTCCTGCGAGAATGAAGACCTGAGTTTAAATCCCAGAACCCATGTAAAAATCCCAGCATGGCTGCACATGCCCGTAACCCCAGCACCCATGTAAAAATCCCGGCATGGCTGAGCATGCTTGTAACCTCAGCACTGGGGACAGGGCCAGGCAGATCCTGAGAGCTCTCTGACAAGGCAGCCTAGCTGAAATGGCTCTTTCTGTTCAGCGATGGGCCCTGTCTCAGGGGTATAAGGCAGAGCTGATGGAGGACGACCCTAACTTCCTGCTCTGGCCTCTGCAGGCCCACTGTGTACATGCAGCACATCCACCACATTCACTCACAAGAAGGGAAGCTGATTTTCAGGCAGAACTGTTGCTCAGACAGTTTACTCAGGGTGCTGAGTGGGGTGCCTCAGCCTGTCCCACCCACTCATGAAACAGCCTAAGCCTGGCCTGCCCACATTGTGTATTTGTGTCCACTGTGAATACCAGCTAGTGGGAAGCTGAACTCTGCCAGAGAGTCCCAACTCCAGGTTATTTGTCCCTGCCCGGACCCCCTCTCCCTGACTCTGATGAATGACTGATGTGCTCTGACAATGACTGTTGTTGTTTTAAGGTCTTCTTTTTCTTGTGATTCTTTTGTTCCATAGCGTCGTCCCCCAGACTACAGTAATACTCAACAATGATCGGCAGAACGCCATTGTAGCCAAGATGGAAGACCCCTTGAGCAGCAGGGCACCGGATTCCCTGGAAAATATCATTAGCAAGTCAGTAGCCACCACCCCTACCTTCCCCTGCCACTCTGATGAGAGCCAGGGCACAGTCCCAGCACATGTCCATGTCTGTGGTCATGGGGTCGATTCTGTCAGCGACCACCACAGTTCTGCAGGTCGGGGAGGGCTAGCCCGGCACTTAGAGCAAGTGGGGTGAGATGGCACCAAGCGTGAGCAGCTGTGAGGACCTCTGGGCTAGCGTGCAGTGATGCCAGTGTTTGTACATGGTCAGCAGGCCACTCCCATCTGTCTGTTCCTGCAGTAGACCCTCTGAGTTTGCTAAGTGTTGCAGACATGTTGAGTTTGTGACTTTTCCCTTATACCTGTTCTTTTGAGACATGTTGATTGGAACCTCAGTCAGAAATGGGAGTGCACAAAGGCCCTGTCTCCATCCCGTGGAGGTAAAAGCCCCTTCAGGTGACCCTCTGCCCAGTGGCTCGGGCTCTATGCTTCAGGAGGGCTCTGCCACCTTTTGGTTCCCAGTGGTGTCCTCACAGAGTCCTGACTTTCTCCCTTGGGTTCCTGTGGGTTGTGGCTCCTAGCTTTGTGCAGGCATCTTGTTCTAGTCCAGTTCTTGTGAGACCAAGGAGGCCTTGGGCCTGACGTGTGGGTGCCGCGGGGGTGCCGGAGGCTAGCCAGGCTGCTGTGGGAGAGGGTGAGCCTCTGGAGTTTGCACTGAGGTCACGGGTATGGAGTGTCGAGGAGCCTGGACAGTTCTGTGGGGCCAAGTCCAGGAAGTGCCTGGTGTGGCTCCTGCATCTGGGATGGCGGGGTTTTATAGGCCTTTTGACTTCCCTGGTGGGAACTAGAGCTTTGTTTCCCTCTGTAGTATGTGATAGGTCACAGTCAGGGATGTTCACAGGGTCATTCAGAAGGCCAATCAGTCTTAGAGTCTCTGCTGAGTACTTTGCTGCTGGCTTGTGGTCATGTTGCTGCCCGTCAGGGCCCTGTGATGAGACTAGCTCCCGGGGGTTCTGGGATTCTTGATGTCCTTGGAAGCTGCTCCTGGGGTTTGTGTGTGGGAGTCATGGGGAGTGAGAAGGCATTTTTGGAGGCTGAGTCATCCTTGGATGTCTGACAGTATGGCTGGCTGGATGGGTGGATGGATGGATGGGTGGATGGGTGGATGGCTGGATGGATGGGTGGCTGGGTGGCTGGCTGGGTGGCTGGCTGGGTGGCTGGATGGATGGCTGGGTGGATGGCTGGGTGGATGGCTGGGTAGATGGCTGGCTGGATGGCTGGGTGGGGTGGATGGCTAGGTGGATGGATGGATGGGTGGATGGCTGGATGGATGGCTGGGTGGATGGCTGGGCAGATGGCTGGCTGGATGGCTAGGTGGATGGATGGCTGGGTGGATGGCTGGATGGATGGCTGGGTGGATGGCTGGGCAGATGGCTGGCTGGATGGCTAGGTGGATGGATGGCTGGGTGGATGGCTGGGTGGATGGCTGGCTGGATGGCTGGGTGGATGGATAGCTGGGTGGATGGCTGGGTGGATGGCTGGATGGATGGCTGGGTGGATGGCTGGATGGCTGGATGGATGGCTGGGTGGGTGGATGGATGGGTAGATGGATGGGTGGATGGCTGGATGGATGATTGGATGAATGGCTGGGTGGATGGCGGGATGGATGGATGGATGGATGGATGGATAGATGGGTAGGTGGGTGGATGGATGGGTGGATGGATGGATGGGTGGATGGGTGGATGGCTGGGTGGATGGATGGCTGGGTGGATGGATGCTGGATGGATGGCTGGCTGGCTGGATGGATGGGTGGGTGGGTAGATGGCTGGGTGGATGGCTGGGTGGATGGATGGATGGGTGGGTGGATGGATGGATGGGTGGATGGGTGGATGGCTGGGTGGATGGATGGATGGATGGATGGATGGATGGATGGATGGATGGATGGATGGATGGATGGATGGATGGATGGATGGATGGATGGATGGATGGATGGATGGATGGATGGATGGATGGATGGATGGATGGATGGATGGATGGATGGATGGATGGATGGATGGATGGATGGATGGATGGATGGATGGATGGATGGATGGATGGATGGATGGATGGATGGATGGATGGATGGATGGATGGATGGATGGATAGATGGGTAGGTGGGGGGATGGATGGGTGGATGGATGGATGGAGGGATGGGTGGGTGGGTGGATGGATGGATGGCTGGGTGGATGGATGGATAGATGGATGGATGGATGGATGGTTGGCTGGGTAGATGGATGGATGGATGGATGGGTGGGTGGGTGGGTGGCTGGCTGGCTGGATGGCTGGGTGGGTGGATGGATGGATGGATGGTTGGTTGGGTAGATGGATGGATGGATGGATGGGTGGATGGTTGGGTGGATGGTTCCCCTGCTCTTCGTGTTTCTTTTCTGACACACAATGGCCGTTGTGTAAGCCTTGTAGGCTGACCTCTGGAGACCTGAAAGCCGGATTCTAGGCAGAGTGGCAGTGAGTTGTAGTTTTCTTCTTTTGTCTTGTACATAGTTCTTAAATGTTGCTTTATCTTACGTGTTCTCTCAGCCCCAGACCGTTCTGTGTTATATGGCTGCTCATCTTCATAGAGGGAGCCTGTGGGGGCACACTGCATGTGAGGACACAGCTCCTGCACTGGTCCATGCTCAGTTAGGCATTGGGATAAGTCCACATGGCACAGTGAGTCAAGGCTAGCCTCAGCATGCCACCCATGTCCCTCTCACAACGTAGGCTGCTGTGTTTGTCTCCCGCCAGCGCTGTTCCTGGGCGTCGGCAGAACACCATCGTGGTGAAGGTGCCTGGTCAGGATGACAGCCACAATGAGGACGGGGAGAGCGGGTCAGAGGCCAGTGACTCCGTGTCCAATTGCGGGCAGCCGGGAAGCCAGAACATCGGGAGCAACGTCACGCTCATCACCTTGAACTCTGAAGGTGGGTCCCAGGACGGCTCTGCTTGGCCAGCTGCAGCGCAGCACAGCGGCAACTTTGTGTTTACTTTTTACATGTGGTTTATTGTTTTAAGAAGAGTGATAAAAGTGATGAAGAAAGTTAAACTAACTGGGAGGGCCACTGCTGAGGGGTGCCAGCCTTCTGGGCCCTTCCTGTGTCCTGTGTTCAACATGACTTTATAATTCACTTCTCTCTTTGCACAGAAATGCCCCATCCATGGCAGTAGGAGCTGCTGTCTGTCTGTCCTAGGCATCTGTCTGCCCAGTGTCTAGCTGCCAGCTTCCAGAGGGGAGTGCCAGGCTCAGGGAGTGCAGCGCTTGGGAGTGGGATCTGCAAGGAAAGGCAGGAGGAGCCAGTGACCTGGTCTGTGCCCTACGTGGTTTCTAGGGGTCCCCAGTGAAGGTCAGGCCCTTCTCTGAAGGGTCCGAAGTGCCCCCTTGAAGTACCCCTTGGCCCACGGCCAGCTTATGTGCATTTCAGAGGCCTTGCGTCACCTGGAGCCTCCAGGAGCCCTTGACCTTAGTGACTGTGTTGTGAAAAGAAGGAAGGAACTCGGACTCAGCTGTGTTAGACCTAAGCCTGTGGCTTGTTTACCTTTGAGGCTTTGTGAGGGTTTTGCTTCCACATCTTAAGTTATTGTTTTTTCCTATAAGCATATTTTTTTTTCTACTTAACAAAGATTTTCCTACTGTATCTGAAATACTAGGAACAGTATTTTTCAATAATTGCAGTGGGAGAAGCACATGCACACACACGTGCACGCACATGCGTGCACACACACGCACGCACATGCACACACATGCACGGGGAGGTGGGGTATGAATACATTCCAGTGATTGCTGAAGTTTAGATTGTGACTGACTCAAAGGCTCTTATGTAGAGAGCTCACTCTCCGCCTTGGGGCACTGTTGCTCAGCCTGGGACCTCCAGGAAATGGCCCAGTGGGAGGAAGTCAGCTCACTGGGTCTTGCCCTTCAGGGGAAAGTGGGTCCTGCTGCCGTGGGGTGAGCGGCCTCATCTTCATTTGCCTTGTGCTCCTGCCATGATGACTGGCCACCACAGGCCCAAAGCAGCTAGGCCAGTAAGAATGGACAAGGTACTCGGAAACTGCAAGATTCAGTAAAGCTTTCCTAACAGTCCACTAAAAGTTCTTGTTTCTGTTACTGTTACAGTGACAGAAAACTAATACAGCTGTTTTCAGTGCATTCACTAGGCTATACAACTGTCACCTTTATTTCATTCTAGAATGTTCTGATCATCCCTCAAAGAAATCACAGCCCGTTTAGCAGTCAGTCCTCTTTCCCTACAGCTTTTTCAGCTCCTCAGCCTTTACTTCGTGAGACAACAAAAGCTGCCTGTGTGTGCCGTCAGTGCTGATGGATAACACAGTGTGCCAGGACTGCACATTCGCTAACTCATGAGCTTGCTTTCTTTTGAAGAAGAGGTCATGGTTCAGAAATGTTTGGCTTTCTTGTTCTTTGGGAAGGGAGGTCACAGTGGCATACTGGTGGTGTGAAACGCCCTGCAGAGCCGTGTGCTAGCGCAGTGGGTTTTGAGAATATTCGTGGTTGCCTCGCATGGAAGTGTTGGGAGGACCTGCCAGGCAGGAAAGTTTCTCACTTTGGCCTCGCTGCCCACCTGCCCCTGCGGTATCAGCCACCGTCCTGGGGTACTCCTGTGTGCCGGCACGCAGAGTCCCACTCCTCCTGGATCCCCTGCTCCAGGACAGGTACTCACAGGGAGTGCTCGGTTACTCACAGGGAGTGCTGGGTTACCTGGCTCATGTTGTAGAAGCATCATTGATCTGGGGTGCCATGGACGATAAGCTTGTTGGACATCATCTTTTTGACCTCTGTGAAGAGTCAAGCGTTGCAGGCAGACAGGTGGTTATCTTCTTATGTGAGTGTCTGAGCCTGAGGGCTGGAGAACCAGACTTGGAAGTAGTTATTGCTAAGAATCCCCAACGTTGCTTTCGTTCAGATTTGAAGTCAGTTGGTTTAGACTACAAGAGTGCCATCCTGGCTTGTGTTGTTTTTGGTGGAGCTGGGATTGGACCTAGGGCCTCTGACGCTTAGCAAGTGCTTTACCACTGAGTTGTATCTCCTTCTCTCTCTTCACATTTTATTAAGATACTCAGTTGTCTAGACTGACCTTGAACTTGCTCCACAGCTCAAGCAAGCCTTGAACTTTCCATTGTCCTCTATCAACCCCAAGTGGCTGGGATAACAGGCCTGTGCCATGGCATTCAGCTGTGCCATCTCATTTTATCCTGGTTTTTTGCTTAATTTGTCCGTGGTGTAAATTCTGTTTAGATGGGACAAAAGGTGATTTCTAATTGTTTGAGCAGCAAATGTTAAACCTGGCGTTTGCTCATGTCTGCTGAGGAGGCTCGGGTCCCAGTACATCTTCACTCTGTTGAGCTGAGAGTATAAGCAGGCCTCAACATTAAGAGGTTGAGTTGGCTAAGTGTCAGCCACAAATTACCTAAGGCATCAAGGACTGAATCTGTTAATGAAGGGATTTATTTAGATTTGCAAGGAAGGTTTTATGTTCCTGCTGTGTGGGCATTAGCTAATTTGTACAGAGCTTGACTAATCCTTCAGGTGAAATGTTGAGTCTTAATTACAGCGAGGAAGCATTGTGCTTTACTGGCAACTGTGTTATTGTCCGGGATTGGGCTCAGAAAACTTCACAGTGTGGTCACATGCAGGGTGAAGGTAGCCTGTGTGTGGAGCACTGTTTCTCAGACTGTCGGCCGAGAAAGCCGTGTGTGTGTGTGTCCTGCAAGGTGTTAATGGTGCTGTATGCTATGATGGCAGATTAATGACAATTGCTGGGTTCACATAACATCAGCCATATATATATATGTAAAGAAGATTTAGCCAGGAGATGGAGAGATGGCTCAGCAGTTAAGAGCACTGACTGACTGCTTTTGCAGAAGACCTGGGTTCGATTCCCAGCACCCACACGGTGGCTGTGATCCACCCCTAACTTCAATTCCAGGGGAATCTCACGCCCTCTTCTGATCTTTGTGGCATTGTATGACATGGTGCACTCAACATACAGGCAATACACTCATACACATAAAATAAAAATAATAAATAATAAAATAATAATAAATAACAAGATTTAGCCAAAAACACCCTCTGAGGACTGGGCAAGATGATGTAGCAGGTAAAGGTGCCTGCCTCTAAGCCTGGCAGTCTGAGACCATCTCTGGGATGCATATGGAAGAGGAATAGAAATGATCCCTACAAACTGTCCTCTGACCATCCCACATGCTCCATGTTACATGAATGCACAGAGATACATACATGCCCCACAGTGCTAAATGTAATAAAAAATTTAGAGTAGCCCTTGAACATTTGTTTCTGTAACATAGGTCTTTGTACACAGCACATTTTCAAGTAATTAAGACTAGGAGGATGGCAGAGAGGGAGCTACCAGAGTGAGTCCACTTCCTCCAGACACCAGCACAGGGGACAGATGTCAGGGACCGTGACAGAAGAGAGTGATAAGGTTAGGCAGTCTCGGCACCTGCTGTGTGCCTAGCAGGTCACACTTCTTACTGCTGTTGCAGAGGCATCCTGGACGCTTGCCCATGTCATGACTGAGCATGGGATGGTTCTGTTGAGTCTCTAGGATTCATCTCTGGCCTCCTGTGACAGGTGCCCTTTGGGTCTCTGCTCTGTGAGACTGGAGGAAGGCCAGACAGGAGCTAAGTGGTCTGAAACTGACCTCTGCTCTGCTGACACCAACCAGAGCCCATGAGATGCCCAACCATAGAGAGCTGGCCTGGTGGCAGGTATGTGGTCCTTGCTTGTGGAGTGACCACATGGTCTGTGGTCACAGAGTCCTTCTTGTGGTTAGATAGTTTTCTTATGGTAAAAATACAGTTGAATTGTTGGTCTAGAACGGCTTACTCAAAAAAGAAAAATAATACGTACTCAAAGTGATGCACACTAAAACCTTTTGAAAGAAAATTGTAGAACGTGCCGTCTAAATTGAAACCCAGAATTTGTAGTTTGTGCAATGCCAGTGGAATAGATTTCTAGAATTCTCTGGGTCTGTGTTACAGAATTTTACAGCCCCAGCAAAGTGGACACTGGCTGTCACAATTGTCTTCCAGTTTGTGGCCTTCCCTCTGTTCAGGGCACAGGTCTCCTAACTTTTCTGTTCCCCTGTTCTGAACACTGGCTAGAAACCCAGCCACCTACATGTGCATGGGAACCCTGTCAAGGCATCTTGAAGTCTAGCTACAGGTGTCTAGAATGAATTCACTGGCACAGATGGGGCTCTGTCTTCCCTGGGCACTTCTGGACCCCTGGGTGTTGGAGTGTCTGACTCATGACATTTGGGGGTGCAGCGAAGAGAATTGTGAGTGTACAAGAACAGGATGTTTCCTGATCACGCAGAGACTCTTATTGTCCACCTTGGTGGAAGGACTGTGTTATTTGAAGTTGTGATTTGCCCTCTTCTGGACTGGAAACGTTCTGGGCTGTGTATGGCAGTGAGTCCTGGAAGGCGGTGGGACATGAGCCAGGGCTTTAGCGATGACCTTCACTGCAGGAAGCACTTGCATCTCAGGAAGCATGCACCCTGAGCTTTGTGACTTGTTTGGGCAAGCTTTACAAATGTCCTATGGAGCTGGGTGTGGTGGTGCATGCCTTTTATCCCAGTACTCTGGAGGCAGAGGCAGGTAGATCTCTGTGCAGGCCAGCCTGGTTTACACAGTGAGTTCCAGGCCAGCTGGGGCTGCAGGGGAATCCTGTCACAAAAAGACAGGGGGAAAAAAAGATAAAAAAAGAAAACAGATGTCATATGGAGATTAATTTTTTTTTTATACGGATGGAAAATATAACTTAAATGCCAGCTCTGGTCTGTTTGAAAACTTGCCTGGTGGTGACTGAGGCTGACCTCAGGGAGCTAATTTGATGTGAGGTTTGTAGCATTTGGAAAGTGAAGACCTCTGTATATCTGTA